TACTAACTATGTCATATAGCACAAAACTTCAGGTTTTTCTTTTCATTTTCTTTTTAACTTTTCTTCCATTTTATAGATTGAAAGTAGGATAAGCTTCAGTAACAAATTATTTTGTCGTTTGTTATCTTATGTTCATTTTTAAGCAACTGTTGGTCGGAAAATTATATGTGGGATTCGAACCGTGATAAATTTTCTACTGTTCATTTCAGTTAGTTAATCTGATATTATGATTCTATCCACAGGGTGTTGGCTGTGACCTATTTGATGGCTTTTGGTATGTCACAGACTTGAGTTTTGGACCTGTTCAGGATAATTCCCTTAGTTGTGCTCAAAATGTTGAATTTAGGCCCCAGTTATTTGCATTAAAGCACCTGAAATCACTCTCATTCTTCAATTGCTTTGTCCCACCCCACCATTATCCTGTTGCAATTCCTATTGAAAATTGGCAAGCTTTTGCTGGCAGCTTAGAGTCACTAGAGTTCCGGTCCAATCCCGGTCTCATTGGACAAATTCCACTCTCTTTTGGGTACCTCAGAAATCTCCGGTCGTTAGTGCTATTAGAAAATGGATTGACTGGTGAATTACCGACGTTCATTGGAAACTTAACTAAGTTGAGGCGGTTAAATCTTGCGGGGAATTCATTTGCAGGTGGAGTTCCAGTTAATTTTGGAGGGCTAAATCAGCTTCTGATCCTTGACTTGAGTAGGAATTTACTGTCTGGTCCCTTGCCTTCAACATTTGGTGGGTTGACTTCTTTATTGAAGCTTGACTTGAGCAACAATCAATTGGAAGGAAAGATCCCACAAGAGATTGGAAAATTGAAGAATCTAACACTATTGGACCTCAGTAATAACAAATTCTCAGGTTGGTTGCCCACATTATTTGAAGAAATGAGTTCCTTGGAACAATTAGTCCTATCCAACAATCCAACAGGTGGAGACTTAATGAACCTCGCGTGGCATAATCTGATATGCCTAACCGCATTAGACCTGTCAAATACAAGCTTGACAGGTGGGGTTCCCGACTCGATTTCAGAGTTAAAGAGGCTGAGATTTTTGGGTCTCAATGATAACTTGCTCACAGGGGAAATCTCCACGAAGCTTGAAACTTTGCCTAATATTAATGCAATGCACATCTATGGAAACAATCTGACAGGTGAGCTTAAATTCTCTGAAAGGTTCTATAGGAAACTGGGGAGGCGTTTTGGGGCATGGGACAATCCAAATCTCTGCTACCAATCTGGTTTGATATCAAGAATTAATGTCCCGTTTGGGGTAAAACAGTGTCAGCAATATGAGAATGAAACTGGCCTTGATACACATTCCAAGTTGGGTAACAATGGGATTTGGAATACAGAATCCAATCCCATGGTTTCTTTGGGATGCTCAATCTTTTGTATTTATAGATTTAGGTACATCTTTGTGTTTATAGTTCTTTTGTTCTTTGAATTTTCTCCATAGGTTTTTACTTAAGGTGGCTATACACCCTTTTTTTCATTTTCATTTTTTTTTTGGATACTTTAATTGCTCTCACGCCACCTAGCTCGACTCATTAAAACTACATGATCAACCCTTTTTGCGTTGGGCACGACAATTGAGACATGGACTGCTATTAAAAACAAAACAAACAGAAAAATTCAATAGCCATTGTCCAATGGGGTCGAGTTCAAATAATTTTTGTTGTGTTGATTACCCATATCTATTTACAAATGACACATGTATAATAATGATCTAAAATCAACTGAAAATTCTTAGTATTCCGAAGGTTGAGGCATAACTCATAATTTCATGTCAACAAAACCAGTTTAAGAAAAATAAACTAGATCAATTTTATCATTCCATTAGTTTGACTTATAAATAGAAGATTTCTTTTGACTGTTTTATGGCATGGCAGTGTTTGTGTCATAAAATAGAGCATATACAATCAAGCTACATGGACACTAAGTTTTATATTAAGTTTGATATCCTAGGAAGGTGTCACTTTTTTAGACATTGATTTTCACAACGCTTTAAACAATCAATGACACAGATTTTGACAACACTTGAAGTGTCAAACTTGATGTACATCAAATGTGTACAACTTGTTTAATCCATATATTTAATCAAAAGTTATACCTTTATACTATTGGAGGATAAAGGTTGGAGAGGGAGAGACAACCAGTTGTTCGTATAAACGAAACAAAGAATTCCACTATGCGTATAAAATGGGACTTCACAGAGGTCTTACAGAATACATACAAGGGAGGAGGTTGGCATTTTTTATCATTCATGGGTCCCGCGTGGGACCGACCTCATGTGTCTGTTATGGACTGTACAAATGGCTTTTAACATTATCTCAGCAGGACTGGCGCGGTTGCATTTTGGTGTGGCCCCATTGGGGCTGTCCGTGGCACAGCACACCCTACGGGCATGGCTCGTGATACATACATTATTTATAATTATTAATTTCATGAAGAAAAATACCAGCTGGATTTAATTTTATAGGAAATTAGAGTTGGTTTCACAACCTTGTATGTAGTGTATTTATAGGTTTTCAACTTTTAAAAGTGAAATTAACATTCTTAATCTATTTAAATATGTGAATTTGAATCTTCCAGTTACAGTATTAGTCAACACCGCGGATATAGTAGGGGGATATTGT